GTGTGTGTTTTTTTAAAAAATTCGACCTTTTAACCATTTACCTCAATTTGTGATTGTTGATATCCACTTTTCTACGAAATAGCATAACATGCACTAAGCTAACAACCATTTTGACTTGGCTTCCACATATTTTTTATTTGGAGAAAAATGACCAACCAAATATACCCTTAAAAATAAAAGAATAAAATTACTCTAGAACAAATTCTAAACAAAAATGTAAAATAAAAAAATCATTTTTTTAAAGCAGGGAATACTACAAACCATGTTATATATGGCCATATAAACAGTCTTAAGTGTTTTTAGTTTCTTTGATTTTATAAGCCCATAATTGTTAAGGTTTTTGATAATATTAATTTATAATCTAATTTCAAACTATTAAATAATATATATAAGTTATATTATTTACTAATAGCTAACAATTAGTACTATAAATTGCTCTTGAGGATCAAATCAAATATATATTAGTTTTGGATGATTTTAACAATTCTTTGTGTTACTATAATCATAGGTTATGGTTATTGTCATATACATTTTTGTTAAGGCCATGTAATTTTATTATTATTTTACCAACTTAACTATTAAAAATAGTTAATTATTGATAAAAAAATATATATATTTGTTACTTAACATATTAAAATTAGTTTATAAGTATGTATTATCAGATATTAATAATTATCTGTTCAAAAAATAAAGTTATAAATTAATAAAATATTAATAAAATTAGGTAATCTTAACAGAAATATAAGGAACAATATTCATTGTCGACCAAGCGCCACTACTGTTGGGGAACGGTTACATTATAGCCATCCAACAATTATTAGACCACTTAAACTTTTTTTCCTTTTCTTTTCTATAGAATTCTGTTATAATATTTGAAAATAGAAGTGTCTAATTTTAATAGGTTAGATAATAAATATTAATTATTTTATTAATTATTAATTATTAATTATAATTATTAATTATTTTTAATTATTAAACTAAATAAAATTATTTTTTAAAAAATAAAATATAAAAATTTAAGCAACGTCAATAATAACTTATTAAGTCACCTTAAAAAATAGTAATGGGACTCGAATTTCAATCAAATTTATTTAAATATTAAGATTTAAAAATAAATTATTTAATCCAAATAACCATTGCACACTATTCTTTTCATTTAATCTTACAATGAAAGTCGTATCAATGATTATGGCAACACAGGTTAATGATTGCTTTGTCGTTGGATGAGTCAAAAAATGTCATGAAAATCGCAACATCCCCTGTTAAAAGGTCGAAAGGTCGCAAAAGACGCGGCCCCTTTACTTAACTAGTGGGGCCTCCCAATGCACTTTTCCTCCCTACGCTCCGCCAATATTTGACACCAGTAACTTTGTTGAAAAGAAAAATAATAATAATAACTCGTATTTCTTTGGTTAAATATCAATTTTGGTCCCTCAACTTAAAATATTACATAATTTTCATTCCTCAACTTGTTTTTACATTTTTTGTCTCTTAATTATAAAAAAACACATTTTTAATCCCTCAACTTAAAGTTGAGGAATGAAAAATATGTATATATTAAAAGTTGAGAGACTAAAAATATATAAATTTAAATAGATTTAATAGCTTAATTAACAGAAAATTAAAAAAGTACACTTTTCATAATTAAAGAATTAAAAAAATACAAAAAAAGTTGAAAAATGAAAATTATGTAAAATCTTGAAGTTGAGAGGCCAAAATTAGCATTTAAGTTATTTCTTTAGGGATGGTGGTTCACACAAACATCAATAAAATAAAAATAATATCCTTTTTCACCAAGTTTAATAATGGTTCATCCCCTAGGCCAGATGCTCCGGGGTTTTCGGTTGGGATAACTCGATTTTTTCTCTCAAAAATCCTTAGTTAATTAGAAAATAAAATACATTTTTAGATTTATGACATGTCAAAATCACTCTCAATTTTTAACAAAGCCTTGAGACCCAATAATTTGTCTCCAAACTTTACTATTTAGATTTAATTGATTTAGTGGTTAGGTTTAATTGGTCAAAAATTCAATTCTCACTAACAACTGAAAAAAATATTTTTCATTCCCCAAAATTTCCCATGTTCAAAAAAAAAAAAAATCACTTTCAATTTCAATCTCAAATTACATATTTAGCTTTGTTTTATTAGTCAAATATAATTTGTTCTCTATGTCAAATATGTATTTTTTTTTTTTTACTAACCTTTGTATTCAGAAATTATATTGGATTCTAACTAATTTATAGTCAAATCATGTTAAATCCCATAAAATGAAAATTCTCACAACATCTGTTTTTTATTCATAAAATTCAAATTCAAAATTTTATTTTAAAAAAAGTAAACAAATTTTATTTGGATAAAAAGATCAATAGTTCGTGATGTCAAGTATTACTGTTTGATCTCAACTACTTAAGTTTTCTTTATTTTTTATGAATGGAAAAATTAACTACAATGATGCATTATTTTTTTTCTCTCAATCCACAAGCTCGCATGTGCACTAAAAAAATTAGTCAAATATAATTTAATTACAAATTTTCCTCATTTTATTTAGATAAAAAATCTCCTCCTTCCTCCTCCGCCTGCTCCTTTTCCTCTCAGCCTTTTTTTTTCTACAGTAAACCCTAACCACCCAACAAATTCCTCAAGCTCACCACTACCCCAAGCTGTAAAAAGACTGAAGCGACCCATTTTTAAAAGCTGAGGGACAGAGGTGACTCATTTTTTCTAGGGACGAATACGTGCTCATTCTTTTCTTTTTTTTTCTTTTTTTTTTGTAATTAAGGGATGAGAACTTTACTTAATCCTTAGTAATAATAACTTCGTTAAATTAATATTTACTAATTACTATAAAACCTCACCGAATAGGGAGGTTCCTCGATGCTAGGAAAAGAGAGGGAGCGTGTGTAGTTCAAAGGATTCCATTGAAAACTAATAATAATGATAACAATAATAATAGTAATATTTTTCTATCAAATACGAAATTTGCAAGAATCGAAAATTTTTATGAAATCCGCAATCTTGTTTGGTTGTGCAAATTGGATTTCTTCATTTGGTTTTACAAAAAGCAACCTAAAGATATGCTTTTAACGACCAAAAAACTTGTCTTCAAAGCAAATCCATGATGAGAAATGTGCATGCTTCGTAAGCAAATGCAATGCTAGCTAGCAGATCCTACTTGATTGCCCCATACAAAAATCAGAAGAGTGCACACCTATATAATTGCTGTGAGATCATTATTATCTTAAGCGTGTATGAAAGTTTTTTTTTTTTTCCCTTCAGAGTAAAAATCTCAATCAATCCTTTTAAGTCACTGGTGTCCCCATTGTCCACCTACCTAATCAGCACCTTTAAATGAGTGAATTTTAAGGTACTCCTTTAGATAACAAGATCTTGTGCGTTCTCGTGCAAATTAGTTGCTTATTAAGATAATAAATATTAAATAATTGGTATTATAATGAAATTTCTTTGTTAATAATAGTCATACAATTAGTTGATCAAAAAAAAAAAAGAAAAAAGGCCATATAAGCCTAACTAAGCATGCATTTAGAGCCAACAACCCAAGCAACTTAATGGCAATATCTCCTCTAAATAGAGTAAGAGATTTAGAGTTTAAATTACATGATATGTCAATGAGATGAATTAAAATATATGATAGAGTTATTAACGATATCATAGGAGCTTATAGATCAATGCCAATATGCCACCTTAGAGAAACGTAGCCCAATGCACAGGAGCCAACTAATAGAAAGGCTAGGGGACTCTTTAGATGGAGGTTTTGCCTCCAACCCTCCAATCAGTTCAATCCCCTTATTGAAATGTGAAAAACTAAGAGAGTAACCCCAGAAGGCGGCACAACAACACTCAACGAAAGGATATATACTAGTTTCACAAACTACTAAGAGGGACACAAGGGGAAAGTTGCCAAGGGGAATTGAACCTTGGCTGGGTTAAACTAGAACACTTGTTGGGTGGCCATCCACTCTACATGCAACCTCGATGGATCCAGTGCAATTTTGAAAATCTTAGTCTTACATAATTTATTATATTTTGTGAATATAGCATTATCATTTCATATTTAGAGATTAATGTCTAATATAATTTACGTAAGACTTGTGCCCCCTAATTAAGATGTTTCAATTGATTCTAGTTTGAAAGTTTAAGTTGGTAGCTTTGAGTTAGAATATTGAGACATGTGATGAGAGAGATTTTCTATAAGGAATAGCTATCTACTATCATGTAGCATATTATTAAAAAAATAGAATAAGGGTTTGTTTAATTAGTTGGATGAGCCTTTTTTTTTAAAAAAACAACTAATTAAAATATTTGAAAATATCAGCTTAAAAGTTGATTTTAAATAGCTAACAACTACAAGCTTACAATTATCAACTATTTTTAATAATCAAATCAAATAAATCCTAAGATTGTGAGAAAGTTAGTGATATAAAAAAAAAAATTTGTAATTCATATTGTACTGGATTGCATAACATTAACCATTAGATAGGTGATAAGGCCTTAAATATTAAGAATTCTTTCTCATCTAATGATCTATATTTTGTTAATTTTGCTATTCAGTTTAGTCTAAATTGCAAAACATAAGATTTTTTCTTTTTTTTAAAAAAAAAAAGATAAATATTAAAGGGTGGCATTTGGCATCGGGTAGTATTTGGCCGCCACTAAATAAATTTAATTAAACATTAAATAATAATAATAATAATGAGCCTAAACAAGATAGACAGAAAAATGAAAAGAAACAAAAGTTTTGGCTTAATACCAATACTGGAAAGATTTCTGTTAATAATAATAATTACAGTTGTAATTACATTTAAGCCACTAATACCAATTTTAAGCTTGGAAGATACAGAACCGTATAGATGGACAGACAAAGCTTACGGCCGGAAAAAGGAGAGAAAACCAAAGAAAAGCTCCTAAAGCAACCTCTTCCCCTCTCTCTTTGATGTGCCAACTATATAAAAAGCCACAAATTATTCATAAACAAACCCTCTCCCCCCCCCCCCCTAAAAATCTATCCTCCTTTTTTTTGTCTCAGAGGGAGTGAAGGAGAAGGTTGGCTCTGCTTCAAGAAACGTCCAACATTTCAGATCTCAACCTCCGGCCACCGGCCACCGGACTCCTCCATACTTACAGGTATATTCCTTTTTTTTTTTTTTAAACCATCCTGGTTCTCTGATTGTCACGAAGGAGAAAGTTCAGGCATTGTTATTTGTTGCTTTCAGTTCGTCCTTATTCGCTCTTAGTTTTCTTTGTTCCAAGTTTTGCTCTGTTTTTTCCCTGCTTGCGTTTGGTTTCTGTGATTCCAGCATAAAAAATGATTCGATCAAAGTTAATGTTTTGCTTTCCTCTATGTGAGTTGAGTTTTTTTCTTTAGATATTTCTTGTTTAATTATTATTATTATTATTATTATTTGAATTATCTTGCAAAGAATATATGCTGCTGTGTTTTCTTCATATTTCCATCTGTACTTTACTAATTTTGAGTATAGTAGTAGAGAATATTGGGAACTTAATGACGAGATTAGCCTTCCCCGATTAGATAAACTGTCCTTGTTAAGGGTATAGTTGTCAATTTGATTCTGCACCAGCGCACTGTGTAGCCTAGACTTGCAAGGGAAGGAAGGATTCCTTTACTCATCTCATGCTTACACGCCTCTCAAGGAGAAATCTACTTCATACATTTCAAAACTCTCTGCTGGATTCCTCACTGCTTTCTGCATGTTACAAACCCAAAAAAGTAGTAAAACATTTACTGCAAAAAGGCAGTTCCTTTATTGGGTAGTAGTCGAGAGGTACACGACTTGCATTGCTGTGGTTAAATCCACCAAATTGTTATCAAGAAAAGATATAGCTTCCAAATTGCCTTCCTCTGCAGTCGTGCATTGCACGCATACCCTCTTATCAACAATCTGCTCTTTTGTGTGTTTTATGGGTATTTTCTAAATTTTTCTCTCTATTATACGGGGGGGTGTTCATAAATTTTATATAACAAAAAAATTCTGCTTTTAAGGTTTCTGTAGTTGTGGTGGAGGAAAAACTAATACGTTGGTCCGGCTAGTTGAAGACAGTTGTGGCAAACCCAAATTCAGAGGCCCAGGTGCAATTTCTTTAACCGTGTGTGTAAATAGTTCTACTTTTTTGACTTCGGTGACAAGAATAATTGTGTTTCTTGAACTGTAGATTGAAAGGAAATTTTTTGGGATATGAGAACGACTGGATTATTGCAAATTTTGAACCTAATGATGTGAAGAAGAGTAGAGAGTAGCTGTGTCTGAATTGAGATGGAGAGCGGTGAAGGGACCAGCAATAATGAGAGGCGTTTTTCAGTGTCAAAAGATGACTCGTGGCTTAGTCAATTCCGGAATGCCTCAAATCCTTGGATGGCCAGATATGTATATGCATTGATGTTTTTTGCTGCAAATTTGCTAGCATGGGCTGTGAGAGATTATGGGAGTAAGTTCTTCACAGATATGGAAAGTAAGACTGCTTCTTCCTTCTGGCATTGGTTAAACAAATGTGTACTTAGCAGACATGCTATTATATATCAGCTACTTCCTTTTTGACATGTGTTCTATTACCAATGCATTTTCAGTTTTGCTGCTAATTGGTTAGTCATATTGGAGGCCGGATTTCTGAAGCACTTGTTTATTGTAATGTGGTTGCAGAACTGAAAGACTGCAAAGGTGGTCATGGCTGTTTAGGTGCAGATGGAGTCCTACGCATCAGTTTGGGATGCTTTTTATCCTTTTAATCTAGTCATGGAACGGTTTTTCATAGCATAGCATTATCTGCTAAATTGGATGGCCATAGAAAGT